GGAACCATTTCACACCCACGAGGATGGCTATAATAATTTTTTTTTAAACAGTGCGAAATAACAAGTGTTGGCAAGGTTGTTGAGAAATTGGAACCAGAAATGCATTGCTGGTGAGAATGTAAAATGGTGCAGCCACTGTGGAAATCGGTTTGGCATTTCCCCAGTAAGTTAAGCATAGTTATATGTCCCAGCAATTCTACTTGTAGGTATGTACCCAACAGATTTGAAAACACATATCCAAACTAATTTTTTCTTTTTTTTAGGTAGAATCTCGCTCTGTCTACCAGGCTGGAGTACAGTGGCATGATCACTGTTCACTGCAGCCTTGAACTCCTAGTCTTCTTCTTTTTTTTTTTTTTTTTGAGATGGGGTTTTGCTCTTGTTGCCCAGACTGGAGTGCAATGGCGCAATCTCAGCTCACTACAACCTCCGCCTCCTGGGTTCAAGCTATTCTCCTGCCTCAGCCCCCAAGTAGCCTGGGTTTACAGGCATGCACCACCACTCCCGGCTAATTTTGTATTTTTAGTAGAGATGGGGTTTCTCCATGTTGGTCAGGCTGGTCTCCAACTCCCGACCTCAGGTGATCTGCCCACCTCGGCCTCCCAAAGTGCTGGGATTACAGGTGGGACCTCCTAGTCTTAAGCTATCCTTCCATCTCAGTCTCCCAAGTACTTGGGACTACAGACAGATGCCACCATGCCTGGCCAATTAATTTTTTTTTTTTTTGTAGATACAAGATCTTGCTATATTGCCAGGACTGGTCTCAAACTCCTGGGCTCAAGCAATCCTCCTGCCTCAGCCTCCTAGAGTACTGAGATTACAGACATGAGCCACCATGCCCAGCCTGAACAACAATTTGAATGTGAATTTTCATAGCAACGTTATTCATGATAGCCAAAAGGTGGAAAAACCCAAATGCTCACGAACTGATGGGTAGATATAAGTAAAACATGGCATGTTCATACAATGGAATATTACTCAACAATAAAAAGGAATGAAGTGCTGATACATGTCACAACATGGATGAAGCTAAAAAATGTGCTAAGAGAATTAAGCTGGTCACAAAAAGCTACATATAATATGATTCCAATTATATGAGATTCCCAGAATAGGTAAATCCATAGCGACAGAAAGCAGATTAGTGGTTGCCAGGGTCTGGGGGAGGGGAGACTAGGTAGTGACTCTCTAGTGTGTATGAGGCTTCTTTATGGGGTAATGAAAATGCTGTGGAACTAGGTAGTGGCAATGGTTGTTCAATATTGTGACTACACCAAAAACCACTTCATGGTATACCATTAAAAATGTTAAAGTGGTGCATTTTATGGTAAATGTATATAAACACACACACACACACACACACACACACAAAGAAACAGTCATAACAGGTTTTTTTGGGCAGTTGTCACCCGATAGATGATATCAGAAGAAATTAACATCACAGTATGATGGAAACTGGGACAGTTTCCTATTCTGGTTGATTGATTTCTGAGCACAGTTTTGATTACAAAACATTTCAAACATACAGAAACCTACAGAAAATAAGACACCCACACATCTGTCACATAGATGTAGCAGAGGTTAACACTCTGTCAGATTTGTTTTTGGTTAAAAAAATCAAACATTACAAATACAAGTTTAACTTGACACAGATACAAACACATATAATAGATGCTAACAGCAGGATTATTTATCATAGTAAACTAAACAGTTGGCGACAAGCTAAGCAACCACTGGTAGGAGACGGGAATCTGTGATCCAACTTGTTAAATAGGTTTCCTTAAATGGAGGTGACAAGAAGCTGTGATGGTGAAATCACTGAGGGACTTTTATCTCTGGTTGGTTTGTTTGTTTGTTTGTTTTGAGACAGAGTCTTACTGTCACCCAGGCTGGAGTGCAGTGGCGTGATCTCGGCTCACTGCAACCTCTGCCTCTTGGTTTCAAGCTATTCTCCTGCCTCAGCCTCCTGAGTAGCTGGGATTACAGGTGCCCGCCACCACTCCTGGCTAATTTTTTGTATTTTTAGTAGAGATGGGGTTTCACCATGTTGTCCAGACTGTTCTCGAACTCCTGACCTTTGGTAATCTGCCTGCCTCAGCCTCCCAAAGTGCTGGGATTACAGGCGTGAGCCACCATGCCCGGCCTGTCACTGTTTTGCTTTAAAAATTTCAATGATCATCCTTGACTACAAACTCCCACTTGTGTTGGTTTTCTAGGGCTGCAGTAACAAAGTACCATAAACTGGGTGACTTAAAACAATAGAAATTTCTTCTCCCACCGTTTGGAAGCCAGAAGTCTGAAATCGAGGTATCAGCAGGGTTGGTTCTTCTGAAGGCTCCAAGGGAGAGGCTGCTTCATGCCTCCCTTCCAGCTTCTTGGGCTGCTAGCAACCCTTGGTGTGCCCAGGCTTGCTCCCCGGTCTTTGATCTCTGCTTCCATCCTTGCCTGGCCTTCTTTCTGCATGTCTTCATAGGGTGTTCTCATCTCTGTGCGTCTCTGTCCAAGTTCCCCTCATCTTACATGAACACTAGCCATTGGATTAGAGCCCACCCTAATTCAGCAAGACCTCATCTTAACTAGATTACGTCTCAAAGACCTGATTTCCAAGTAAGATCTGATTCACAGGTAAGGGGATCAGGACTGCAACATCATGTATCTTTTTGGGAGGACACAATTCAACCCACAGCAATCAGGTACAAACAGAAACAATAAAGATACTTCTGCGGATTAAATGTTTAAAAAGTCATTAGAAAATAGAGAGAAAAGAGAATGCAAGCAAAGCCAATTCAAAGAAAGAAATAAAAACGGAGAGGAGATGCAACGGGGAGATGTCGGTCACAGGGTGCAAACTGAGTCACAAAAGGAACCAGCTCTGGATCTCAGGTACAGCAAGGGCAGTGAGGGGTGTGTTCCTTAATTGGATTCTGGTAATCATGATACAATGTATATTGATCATCACATTATACACTTTGAATATATACAATCTTCATTTGACAATGAAATATTTTAAAATTAAAAAAAACAAGGCACATTCTGGACACTAAAATCCTGTTCCAGTAGGTACCATTCTTCCTGAATCCAGCTTCTTGATTATCCAGGAACGCCAGGATCACAAGGTAGATTTTCCCGCAAATTTCTGTTTTCTGTTAAACTGACATGTGCCGTTTAAAGTTTCTCAAACTAGTCCTTCCTTGCTGGAAAGTCTCCTGTGCTTAAAACACTGGGAGGAGAGGAGCTATGGGAAATGAGAAAGGGGAGGGGACAATATATTAACGGTGAGACAGTTCTCTCTACATTGGGTGGACTATCAAGTGACGTCATCCCCTAGGCAGGTGGGAAGGACGGGAGTAGAGCCTAGAAGAGGCCACAGGACAAACACTGGGAGCTGCCTGCAGAGAACTGAGGACCGAAGCAGCCGTAAACGCTGAGTTCTGCAAGGGAGCGACCACAGAGTGAAAAGGGCAGAGGGTGCACCACGAAATCCTCGGGAGAACCTCGGAAAGGGGAACAGGGAAGAACTGACGTGAAGATGCCATACAAGGGGTGGGGATCAGAACTGGGCAGGTCTCCAAAGTGAGTGAAGGCAGGAGTGTCAGGGGAAGGGAAGTCCACACCGCATCCTACACACACGATGTCAACAAAGTCAGAGGGGAGGTGAGGAGGCAAAGACCCTAAAATGCCACTGGCTTCATCTGGAAGTTGGTTAGAAGAGAGTACTTGGGTGGACTGAAGGAATTAGTGTTGAAAAGTAGAAAGAACTCCTATAATTTGGTAAAGACTCTCTGCTTGACCAAACTTTAGTCAGGCTCCTGAACCTTGTCCCGGGCTCATCTGTGCGCTTCCTTGTAAATCTAGTTTTAGCAAAGAACCCGGTCAAGTCAGTTTAGCCAGTGCCGCCGGCCTCTATGCTCTGATCACCTGGATGTCTGATCAGATTCCTCACTCTGCACCATCTCCCAGGTAATGTTGGGTCACCCTGGCCTGTCTTTGCAAGAGTCCCGTTAGGTGCGGTTAGCCAGAATTCTCATTACCTATAATGTTTCCTTTTAGTAATTTTCCACCCACTGACTGCCACCCTGCTCCTTGGTTATAAACTCCCGCTTGCCCAGGCAGTATTCAGAGTTGAGCCCAATCTCTCTCTCTCACCCACTCCAAGACCCCATCGAGTGGTCCCTATGCTCATCCAGATGGTCCTGAATAAAGTCTTCCTTTCTGTGCGTTAACAAGTGTCATTGAATTATTTTTCCTTAACAAATTCAATATGAAAAAGACGACTCAATAGAAAGATGGGCAAAGTATATAAAACAACACCTACAATAGACTGCTTTACAGAAGTTACAGTGAATAAACAGGAGCTATAGGAATCCACATGGATAAATCTGAAAAAGACAAGATAGGACAAATTGCAGAAAGAAATGTACAATCTGGTACTTAAAATGTTTTAATTTTCATTTTTTACTTAACAGGTGAAATTTCACATATTATATGCATATACATACACATGTAGTAAAAGTATTACATTTTTAAAAATGGTTATACATACAGTAGAAGACAAGGGAATGAGATTCAGGAGAGGTTCACAGGGGATTTTAATTGTATCTACCATGTTTCAAAAACATTTGACATTTTATTAAGGATATTAGACATCATAAAATAAGCCAGCCTGCTATTGTTGGTATCTAATGAAAATCTCTTTCTTGGTCAGGCACGGTGGCTCATGCCTATAATCCCAGCACTTTGGGAGGCCGAGGGGGGCCGATCACTTGAGGCCAGGAGTTGGAGACCAGCCTGGCCAACATGACGAAACCCTGTCTCTACTAAAAATACAAAACTTAGCCAGGCAGCCGGGCATGGTGGTGCAGGCCTGTAAATCCCAGCTACTTGGAAGGCTGAGGGACAAGAATCGCTCGAACCTGGGAGGCAGAGGTTGCAGTGAGCTGATATTGCACCACTGCACTTCAGCCTGGGCAGCAGAGAGAGACTCTGTCTCAAACAACAAACAAACAAACAAAAGAACTCTGTGCCGTGCCCCTTGAGCATTGCGTTGCTGCATTGCACCCCACCGACTCCACTATGTTGAAGAAATTCGACAAGAAGGACGAAGAGTCGGGTGGAGGCTCCAACCCATTCGAGCACCTTGAGAAGAGTGCCGTACTCCAGGAGGCCGGTGTATTTAATGAAACTCCCATCAACCCTTGGAAATGTGTCCACATCCTCACCAAGATTCTTTATCCTATAAACCAGGGGGAGCACCTGGGGACCACGGAAGCGACCGAGGCCTTCTTTGCCATGACCAAGCTCTTTCAGTCCAATGATCCCACACTCCATCGGATGTGCTACTTGACCATCAAGGAGATGTCTTGCATCACAGAAGATGTCATCATTGTCGCCAGCAGCCTAACAAAATACATGACTGGGAAAGAGGACAACGACCGGGGCCCCGCTGTGTGAGGCCTCTGCCAGATCACTGATAGCACCATGCTGCAGGCTACTGAGTGCTACATGAAACAAGCCATTGTGGACAAGATGCCCAGTGGCTCCAGCTCTGCCCTCATGTCTTCCCTGCACCTGCTGAAGTGCAGCTTTGATGTGGTCAAGCACTGGGTGAATGAGGCTCAGGAGGCGGCATCCGGTGATAAGATCATGGTCCAGTACCACGCCCTAGGGCTCCTGTACCGTGTGCGTAAGAATGACCACCTGGCCATCAATAAGATGATCAGCAAGGTCACCTGGCACGGCCTTAAGTCTCCCTTTGCCTACTGCATGATGATCTGGGTGGCCAGCAAGCAACTGGAAGAGGAGGATGGCAGCCGTGACAGCCCACTGTTTGACTTCATCGACAGCTGCTTGAGAAACAAGCACAAGATGGTGGTGTACAAAGCCGCCTTGGTCACTGTCAATCTGCCAGGCTGCAGTGCCAAAGAGCTGCCCCTTGCTGTGTCAGTGCTCCAGTTTTTCTGCAGCTCACCCAAGACTGCTCTCCACTATGCTGCTGTTCCCACCCTCAGTAAGGTTGCCATGAAGCATCTGTCAGCTGTGACAGCTTGTAATCTGGATCTGGAGAACCTGGTCACAGACTGAAACCGCAGCCGTGCCATGCTGGCCATCACCACCCTCCTTAAGAGGGGCAGTGACAGCAGCATCGACCACCTCATGAAGCAGTTCTCCTCCTTCATGTCAGAGATCTTGGATGAATTCAAGGTGGTGGTTGTCCAGGCTATCAGTGCCCTGTGTCAGAAGTATCCTCGCAAACATGCCATCCTCATGAACTTCCTGTTCACCATGCTGTGGGAAGAGGGTGGTTTTGAGTACAAGCACACCACCGTGGACTGCATCATCAGCATCATTGAGGAGAACTCAGAGAGCAAGGAGACAGGGCTGTCACATCTGTGCGAGTTCATCGAGGACTGCGAGTTCACAGTGCTGGCCACCCGTATTCTACATCTCCTGGGCCAGGAGGGGTCCAAGACCACCAATCCCTCAAAGTACATCCACTTCATCTGTAACCGAGTGGTCTTGGAGCATGAGGAAGTCTGGGCAGGTGCTGTGAGTGCTCTGGCCAAGATTGGAGCCCAGAATGAAGAGATGTTACCCAGTATCTTGGTGTTGCTGAAGAGGTGTGTGATGGATGATGGCAATGAAGTAAGGGATCGAGCCACCTTCTACCTAAATGTCCTGGAGCAGAAGCAGAAAGCCCTCAATGCAGGCTATATCCTAAATGGTCTGACTGTGTCCATCCTGGTCTGGAGAGGGCTCTGCAGCAGTACACTCTAGAACCATCAGAAAAACCTTTTGACCTCAAGTCTGTGCCCCTGGCCACGGCACCCACGGCAGAGCAGAGAACAGAAAGTACTCCCATCACAGATGTCAAACAGCCTGAGAAAGTGGCAGCTACCAGGCAGGAGATCTTTCAGGAGCAGTTGGCGGCGGTGCCAGAGTTCCGGGGACTTGGGCCCTTCTTCAAGTCCTCGCCTGAGCCCGTGGCCCTCACAGAGTCAGAGACGGGGGTATGTCATGTTTCTGCCTCATGAAACCGGCAGAAACCGCTTCCCAAGCTTCTGTATTCAAAAACAGTTAGGAATCATTGCATGCATATATATATATTTTATTCTACATGCATATATATATATTTTATTCTGCCCCCTACCCGGGACTACTTGGGGGTGACTTTTTTTTTTTTAAATAGGGGATAATTTTAGCTTCTCCTAAATCTTGCTATCCTCCCTTCCAGGAAAGTGACATCATGAATAAAACATTCTCAACTCCTCTTGAATTTATCCCCCAAGAAGCCATCTTATCCCTGTAATAAATCAACATGTATTTATTGGGAAAAAAAAAAAAATTCCTGGCCAGGTGTGGTGGCTCACGCCTGTAATCCCAGCACTTTGGGAGGCCGAGGTGGGCGGATTACAAGGTCAGGAGATCGAGACCATCCTGGCTAACACGGTGAAACCCTGTCTCTACTAAAAATACAAAAAAATCAGCCGGGCGTGGTGGCGGGAGCCTGTGGTCCCAGCTACTCGGGAGGCTGAGGCAGGAGAATGGTGTGAACTGCGGGGGGCAGCTCTTACAAGTTTAAATATCTGAAACATGAAAGCCTGCAAATATCTACAGTAAGCCGAGATCGTGCCACTGCACTCCAGCCTGGGTGACAGAGCGAGACTCCGTTTCAAGAAAAAAGAAAAAGAAAAAAAAATTCCCTTTCTTACAGGCATAAAACTGGTAAAGCAGGGCTGGTGAGAGGCTACCTCCCAGCCCCGCCAGGAAATCCAAATACTTGCAATCCCATTTCTTGGTGTTTCTTAGAGTCAGTCCAAGGTCATCACATGTACTTCACCACCCCACCCCCTGTCATATACATTGAAATTAACAAAAAAGTTTTCATTTTGTTAATAAAGCCATGATTTTGAGTTTAAAAGTGAAAATTAGGCCAGGTGCAGTGGCTCGCACCTGTAATCCTAGCACTTTGGGAGACCAAGGCAGGAGAATCGCTTGAGCCCAGGAGTTCGAGACCAGCTTGGGCAACATGGCAAGACCCGGTATCTACAAAAAATACCAAAATTAGCCAGGCATGGTCGTGTGTGTTTGTAGTCTCGGCTGCTTGGGAGGCTGAGGTGGGAGGATCACTTGAGCCTGGGGAGTTTGAGGCTGCAGTGAGCTGTGATTGTGTCACTGAACTCCAGCCTGGGCAAAAGAGCAAGACTCTGTCTCAAAAAAAAAAAAAAAAAAAAGTGAAAATTGTATTTTTTCTCTTCTTGGGCACCTTCAGCTATAACAGAAGAGAGAAGAGCTGACTTCTGGAATTAACCGAATGTGACAGGTCCAGGTTTAGATGCGTCTGGGCAGGTGTGGGGCTGTGCAGAGGCACACTGTGTTTAAATTTGTCTTGTTACATCTGGCTGACAGCCTGGCCAAAGCTACAACATTCTTGCTCACACAGGTCAAAAGTGACTGCATTACAGTCTCATTGCAATTTCTGCAGCCCTGAGGGCAGGCTGGAATATCCACCAGGGATGTTAGAGAAACTAGAAGGTGCTTTGTTCCTGGGGCTGGACTTTTCTACTGGCGTTAATATTCACAAACTCTGGAAATGAGACTGAATCAAATTTCCACATCCAAATCAAGTTAATTGTACTCCCTATTCTCTCTTACAATTTATCAGCAGCAAGCATTAGAGCTGTCAAATCTTTATCCACTTGATGGAAAAGACCAACAAAGCTGCTCTTTTTGAACATTGCTGATTTTTATTTGCTTTTACTTTTTCTAGTCATAACAAGACATTTTCTCAGAACGTCTTATACTTGATCAAAAGATTTGTACTGACTTACAGTACAAATGTGCTTTTCTCTTAGATGAAGTGAGATTGGATAAACAGTGTACTACTCCATTTTCTTTCAATTCTCCAGCATGAAGCCATTGAAAAATATGAAAATTGCATTTTATTTTTATTTTTTTTTTTATTTATTTATTTATTTATTTATTTATTTATTTATTTGAGACGGAGTCTCGCTCTGCCGTTCAGGCTGGAGTGCAGTGGCCGGATCTCAGCTCACTGCAAGCTCTGCCTCCCGGGTTGACGCCATTCTCCTGCCTCAGCCTCCCGAGTAGCTGGGACTACAGGCGCCCGCCACCATGCCCGGCTAGTTTTTTGTATTTTTTAGTAGAGATGGGGTTTCACCGTGTTAGTCAGGATGGTCTCGATCTCCTGACCTCGTGATCCGCCCATCTCGGCCTCCCAAAGTGCTGGGATTACAGGCTTGAGCCACCGCGCCCGGCCGATTTTTAAGATGGAGTCTTGCTCTGTTGCCCAGGCTGGAGTGCAGTGGTGCTATCTCGGCTCACTGCAAGCTCTGCCTCCCAGGTTCACGCCATTCTCCTGCCTCAGCCTCCCGAGTAGCTGGGACTACAAGCGCCCGCCACCACGCCTGGCTAGTTTTTTGTATTTTTAGTAGAGATGGGATTTCACCGTGTTAGCCAGGATGGTCTCGATCTCTTGACCTCGTGATCCGCCTGCCTTGGCCTCCCAAAGTGCTCGGATTAGAGGTGTGAGCCACTGCACCTGGCTGAAAATTGCATTTTGAACATTCCCTTAATTTTCTTACAAGATTAACTATCTGAAACATGAAGAGCTGCAAGTATCTACATTCATTGTACATCATAAATATTTTGTTACCTTTCAAGCTGCCATTTCTATGATGTTCATAAGAGGAATTCTCAGAGGATAGAAAATGATTAGAAAGTTTAAGCCAAGTTCAACATGAAAATGATTTGGCTTATTTTCCTTTAAACCTCGTGGCACCCAGGATACAGCTTCATGCTCACCTTGTTATTGTTCCTCACAAACCCACTGGTCACTCTGCTTCCCGCTCATTTTCTAGAGGCTTTTGTTCACAAACCCCAAGCCTTAGCTTCATGCTCCATGAAGTCAATGTCCACTGGATGATCAGTTCCACTTGCCCTGCTGTTCTTTGAATCTCTCATCTCCACCCCTCCGCCCCACCCCCTCCACACACTGGCATCCCCATGCCTCACCAGCACCAGAACCTCTACCTCTAGAACATTCACCCTAGACATCTCTCACCACCACCAGTATGTCAGCTATTTGCTCGAGAACTCAGAATGTTCAAATCCTTTTACCCCTGGGAGAGCTCTGCCCTGAGTGCACATGTTCCTGTTGCCAGAAAAGAGAGTCCCAATCCAGACCCCAAGAGCAGGTTCTTGGATTTCACGTAGAAAAGAATTCAGAGGGAGTCACAGAGCACGGTCGGTGAAAGAAGCAAGTTTATTGGAAACTACTTTGTTACAGAGTACGGCATCCTCAGAAAGCAGGAGAAGGAATGCATCGTCCTTTGTTAGTGCTTCTGCTTGTAAGAAACTTCAAGGAGGCCAGGCGCAGTGGCTCATGCCTGTAATCCCAACATTTTGGGAGACCAACACGGGTGGATCACCTGAGGTCAGGAGTTCAAGACCAGGCTGGGCAACATGGTGAAATTCCGTCTCTACTAAAAATACAACAATTTAGCCGGGCATGGTGGCGTGCTCCTGTAGTCCCAGTTACTCCGGAGGCTGAGGCAGTTGAATCGCTTGAACCTGGGAGGCGGAGGTTGCAGTAAGCCAAGGTCACGCGCCATTGCACTCCAGCCTGGGTGACTGAGCGAGACTCTGTCTCAAGAAAGAAAGAAAGAAAGAAAGAAAGAGAGAGAGAGAGAGAGAGAGAGAGAGAGAGAGAGAGAAAGAAAGAAAGAAAGAAAGAAAGAAAGAAAGAAAGAAAGAAAGAAAGAAAGAAAGAAAGAAAGAAAGAAAGAAAGAAAGAAAGAAAGAAAAGAAAGAAACTACAAGGAGCTATGACTAAACTTGGAACGTGCCTATGTACTCACTAAAGGTAGGGACTATAGGCATTATCAATTTTACATGACCACTATAATCCTTCAGCCTAAGCCTGTTCATTGGCATTATCTCCAAGTAAAGAGTGCTGCATTCTGGCCAGGCGGGTTGGCTCAGGCCTGTAATCCCAGCACTTTGGGAGGCCGAGTCAGGCAGATCACGAGGTCAGGAAGTCGAAACACGGTGAAACCCCGTCTCTACTAAAAGTACAAAAAATTAGCTGGGCGTGGTGGCGCACACCTGTAGTCCCAGCTACTAGGGAGGCTGAGGCAGGAGAATCGCTGGAATCCAGGAGACAGAGGTTGTAGTGAGCTGAGATCGCACCACTGCACTCCAGTCTGGGTGACAGAGAAAGACTCTGCCTCAAAAAACAAATAAAAAAAGAGTGCTGCATTCTGAGGACATCTGGCAAGCTTGTCCAACCCATTTGATTTTGTTGTTGTGTTGTTCTGTTTTGTTTAGTTTCAGGCTTTTAGCAGCCTGAAGCCATGGTTTTTAGTTTCTGTCTCTGCTGATAACTGGAAAATAAGAATGAGGAAGGGGCTTTACTGGCCCAATCAGAAACAGAAACTAAGAACCCATGACTGGGCCGGGAGTAGTGGCTCACGCCTAAAATCCCAGCACTTTGGGAGGCCAAGGCGGGCAGATCATGAGGTCAGGAGATCGAGACCAGCCTGGCCAATATGGTGAAACCCATCTCTACCAAAAATACAAAAATCAGTCCTGAGACGGGATGGGTGCTGCCCAGAGTGGGTGACCAAGCCCTGACTGACAGCAGTGCCTCGGGAGTGACCACATCACCCACCAGAGTCCAGGGAGCCTGGCCTGAGAGCTGCCCAGCGCCCTGAGGACGCATCTGGAGCCCATCCCAGCTGACACTCCCCATGGGCCTTGCAGGATGTGACCTCCTGCCTCTGCCTGTGCCCTGGCCGCTGACCCTGCCTGTTCCCTTCTTCCCTCATCCTGCCCGATCCAGAGACTGTGACCCTACCTCTGACCACCCTGGCCCTTCTCTGACCCTTTTCCTGTCAGAGCCGAATGAGACCTCCCTCCCTGATCCATCCATACCCCTGCCTTGGCCACTTTCTCACGGGGCTGCCCAATGCTGCTGGGGAGAAGCCTGGGGTGACAAGGATGACCAAGGGCCCTGCAGGCAGTGGGG